CTATGCGGGCGTCGATGCGGGTGTCGATGATGGTGGTGATGGCGGTGGTGGTGCCCATGGCCGTGGCTGTGGTGCGAGTGCCGGCTATGCAGCCGCTCGACGTCGACGACGATCGTCTGGCCCTGCGGTGCCACCTGCATGTTCGCCCCCGCGCCGTACGAGCCGGGCAGCGAAGCGGCCGTGCCGTAGGGGGAGACCATGCCGGAGCTCATCATGGGCGACGCGCCGCCGAAGGACATGCCAGCGCCGAGACTCGCGGGGGTGCCGGGGAGGGGGAGGCCGCCTCCTGCCATGTAAGGAGATCCTCGTTGGGGTATTCCCCCGTAGATGGAGCCCAAAAGCTATCAAGTTAACGTCAGAACTAGATGGACAGTACGGCGACAGCAGAGGACTACATACGCGGTCTGCGAGCATGGAGGCTGTCGCGGCAGCTGCCTCGCACGCGGCCCTCAGGCCGTACGTATCTGTTGGACGTCCTGTATACTGCCATAGTCGTGTCGCTGTGAGTTGTAACGTCAGAAGGGTGATCAGCCTGTAGAGCTACGGAGCATACCTTCTGCGATGGCCATCCCGATCAGGCCTTCGCGTTGCTGCGCACGATCCGCGCTGAGAGGTTCGTAGAGGTAACTGTTGTGCTTCCAGGTACGGTACATTTCGTACGCCGCTGCCGCGCCGATGTCGGTAGGGAGTAGTTGAGTAAGAGGAACCTGATAGAAACAAATGTGAGCAAAGAATAGTGAAGCCGCAGAGTCTGGCATACCATGCCACTATAGACGGAGTCGCGCCATCGGCGTGCATGTCTGTGGCCAATGCCCATTCCTGAGAATTGGGACGCGCGTCCCATTACGGAGTGATAGAGCGACCTGGAAAAGGGCAGGCGATAAGCGGCACGAATCACATGGCCGGTCTCTATTGACGTACGGGTCGGGGTTGTACGCGTGTGCGTTGTAGAAGTCCAAGCCGCGCCCTGTGTCCGGAATTGAGCGCGCAGACGTAGAAGCAACATTGAATAATTACATACATGAAGGCTGTGGCTGGAATGACGGTGCCCAAGGGCTGCCAAACTGGAACTAGAGGACTGTTAGCGCACGATACTCACGCCACAGAACGAGGCACACGAACCTGTGAGGTGCCCCAGCCGGGCACGGACGATTGGTAGTAGTTGTATGCCATGGTGAGAGTTTCCAACAGAAGTAGGTGCGCGCAGAGAGGAGGGCCGACGGTACATATATGGCTCGAAGCCGCGAGCCGGAGAAATGATGCACTCGTGCCGAAATGACTCTACTAGTGGTGGTGTCGATGCTGTGGTCCCGTTCAGTCGGGTGGTCGAGGGAATCCCGCAGTGCACCGCTAGTGACATCATTGGCCTATCATCTGAGCTCTCAAAGAATGTTCGGCGTGCCCCGCCGGTAGATCTGTGGTCAGGCTTTGTCGTGGAGGACGTAGAACTCCTTGGCATGCATCCATCGGCGACTCGGCGGCGTCGGAACTGCATCTGCATTGAAACTTGGGCGCTCCGTTCGGCGGAGGTACATTGCGGAGGACTGCGCACAACTCTAAGTGCGGTTGACTCCTTCATGGTCCGTGTTTCTGGCGACAAGTCCTATGCATCAGGCGATATTGCGTTGAAAGGTGTTGTGCGTAGTGTCTGGATCTTTAGTAGAGAGATAGCTCTTATGACTGACTTCGAGCTCCTGTTCAAGCGCTAACCTTCCAGTGACCTCGCAGCCTCGCAGGGTCAAGATCGCACGGGTTGGCTTGCGAGGAAATGCTGTAAATCCAGGCCGGATGCCGTTCTCCAAGGTCATCTGAAGACGGAACAGGTTTGGCAACTCTCAGGCTGTCAGTCGTTGACTCGTTTGATGCGGGTTTTTGGTCCGTCGAAGGCTGCGATACAGCGACATTTAAGGCAGATTATACGCACAGTAATCTTCTATCAATGTATAACAACCCGAGAACAGTTGCTGTGTCGCCCGGCGTATATTGTTGGATGAAGGAGCGGGAGGACGTGGCAAGAGATCTAGAGGAAGTGGGCTCGCTGCTTGAACTTGCAGCTGCAGCCTGAGGCGGCCGAACCGGCAGTGGTAACTGAGTGACTATGACGTAACGTCACATATCAGTCACCAAACGCAAAGCTTGCCAGCGCGCAGGCTCGAGTTCTGAACATTGAACCACACCACTCGGGACAAAACAGCGCTGTCCTATTGCTTTACGCGCATGCTGAGCTTATGTACTATGTTCTTTTTGCTGCTCAAGGATTGCATTACTCTCTTCGAACATGCCCTAGAGTGTCTTCACTGAAACTAATAGGTCCTAAGCAAGGTAAACTCTGGCCCCGGCAGTGCAATGTCACCATGCACCACCGCAGAGATCCGTTTATTTAGCGTAAGAAGACAGCCATAAGCCCCTTGGGCTCCCACTTCAGGAGCTGGTCTATATGAACCTCGAAAGCCTCCTTGGAAGATAACGGCGCCGACATCTTGCTTCCGCTATCTTGAAGCCTCACCACACTTGCCATGTCGACTCGGCGCGTTCATGAACCTGGCTTGAAGAAATCTTCATCCTTTCAGAAGAACCGCACCTCGCCAACTTGCAATCGCAACTTCAACAACTTCTCGCACCTCCGAGGACTGAATCTCAGTTATGACGAGCACCGTACGTGATCTTTGACTGCTTCTAGGCTTCACGATGCGAGCTCACAACGCCGATCTTCATTAGCTGACGTAGATGAAATCCACTCGGCCACCTTCGGTCGCCTGGACCATCTACCGCTGACCCAGACAGTCTCGTCGAGTACACGTCTGGTTTGAGCACCCCTACCGATGATCGCGCAATTACTCCGACGCCCGGTGAGAAGACTCGTACTCAAAATATGAAACGTTCTGTTGGTACTTTTCCATTACGGGACCATTGCAGGACCATGGTGTGTTGACAAGAACTCAAAAAACAATCACAAATCAGCAGAACCTGACATATCAAGTGCGGGCGAATCCATGTCTGAGAACCAGCAATGAAGACGGGTACGTCGTATATGATCGCTGATATCTATGATCGTCTCGTTCAAATTTCTGAAAGAACACATATCTAGCAAACTATCGAGTCTTGTAGAGCGGAGATCAATATCGAAGGCAACATCCGAGCATGTGTATAAATACGGCTGCGCCATGATGCCCATGTCACTTTGAGTTCCTAGTCTATCTATGACAGCGATGCAAGACGAGGACTAATCAGCTCTTCTGTGACCTTCAGGTTGGGCCAGTGAGACGGCGGCAGTCGCAGGCGCCGCGGCGAATGAAACCGAAGCAGCGTCGACCACGCGACCGGCTCAAGACTTTGACTCGTTTCGCACTTCTCGAGTGTTCTGTGTTGACCAGGCTGCACGTTCAGAGCACCTGATGGCACTTTCCAGAGCTGAGTAGGCCATACTGTCTACAGAAGCTTGTCACAAGCTCAAGCGCACTATAGCGGCGCAGTCGAGATGCGTGGCGCCCAGAAGAGATACATATATGATGGTATCAGAGCTCACGTCCTTCAAAGTTACCCATCGCGATGGACTCCCTCCCGCTAGAGACCTTACAGCGGATCTTCGAACTCGCCTGCACAGACGGCGGACGCACGGGCAACTCGCTATCCCTTACGTCGAAGGGAGTTCGTTCCGCCTCTCGGACAGTGCGCTTCCGCTCCATCATACTCATCGTCCACCCTCGCTGCCTGCGGAGCTTCATGATGCTATACGAGCGCGAATGCGATCCCGCGTTTAGGGACAAGCCTCGTATTCAGCACCTATTCCTCATGTTTCCCAGTATCGGTGGCACGGGTACACGCCCCGGGGATGCAAGCCGTTCCCCTTCTCCGTCTCCACGTAGGGAACGCTGCCTGGCCTATCGAGATTCACAGTCAAGCACAAATTCGCGCACGGCGTCCTCCGAAGACATTGCGCTCCCATCGGACTTCGATGACTTCGAGACGGAGGACGTGGACATCTATGTATGGCCCTCACGCGGTCGTCAGCGGACCCCCGATCCAACAGCCTCGCCAGGGTACCTCGCGGCCGCACGGACGCTCTTCCGCCTCATCACACCCGACCTCCAGACCCTCGCTATAAACAGCGGTATGACCTTCGGCGGCCAGCTGGAGCTCCCCTGCATCGGGCAGCCGCTCCCCTACCTCCGCGAGCTCGCCCTCGTAGACGTCAGAGAGCCGAGGGCGCTCTTCGCAGAGGGCGGGAGTGGGCCCCCGCTATTCCCCCAGCTCACGCACCTGCACATCGTCTCCGACTTCACCGTGAGCGACCTCGCCTTCCCGATGTGGGCGGAGCACGCCCCGCGCCTCACGCACCTGCGCGTCACCGGCGTCACCGACGTACACGTCTCCCAGCTGGCACGAGTGGTTGGGGTCAAAGTCGAGCGCTACCCCGCTGTGGTCGTGCATATCCCCGGGAGCTTCAGCCCGCCGAGCCCCCCACCGCCACCCCCTCCCCGAACGAACCCGAGCGTGCGGGTGCTGGTGATGCAGCCGTGCCCGCCGCCACGGGGAGGCTTCTGCGGGAACCCAATGATTGAGCATGGCGAGATGGTCGACGACTTGCACGAGATCGAGCGGCAGTGCCAGGGGTCGGGAGTCCGCGTAACCGTTTTATTTCACACAGACGGTGCGGACGGGGCCGGGGACGCGAATGCGCGGGCGCCGCAGGGGGACTGGATCGGACGGGTACATTGTCATCTGGGTGATGCAATTGGATGCTGGCCTGGGTCGCTCTATGTGAACTTAGAGGTGTTAAATGGTAGCGATGAGGCCGACCTACAGCTAAGCTTATAACGCGTACTTTACTAACACGGCGTGGCTGGTGAGAGGCTCACAAAGCAGGCCCAAATTTCCTCAGATTAAGTTACGCACCATTATCATGACAAGGCTTTCGAATGCATACGCCTGCCAGAACAGTAGGTCATTGCCAGGGAAATATACACAGCTATATATGCTCCAGAGAAATATTGAGGCAAGCCCCCGTTGTCTAATGGCTATGATATCAGACTTCTACGGAGGGTTACTCCCCGATGAATCTGGGGGTTGCGGGTTCGAGTCCCGCCGGGGGTAGTCGGTTATTTTTCTTGTCTTCTTTTTCAGGTTTATCCATGTCCCCGTCCTACGAGACTGTCGTCGGAACCGATGTCGCAGCTCGTACATCCACTCGCTCTGTCCTGTCCTTGCAAGGTGCATGGTTGTACCACGGTGCGTATATATGACGAGACGGAGTGGCCGCGAGGCGCACCGCGCACAATACATATGTCAGTAGTAGTCTTGTAACCAGCCGTTATAGGGGGTCTTCCAAAACGGGACGGGCAAGAGAACGAGAAGA